AAGAGCACAAGATATTTGTGTTGCTTGTAAATCCATACGTGTTCAGAACATACCTTTTTTTTTTTTTTTTTTTAAATTGAGGTAACGCTGCCAATACCAAAAAGAAATGAGCTTGGACCTTTTTTTTTCCTCCCTCCTCCCCCCTCCTTGTCTTTTAGGTGGGCCGGGGGAAGCGTACAAAGCAGCGAATAATTAGCAGCACGAGGAAATGATGTTTCAAAGGAGACGCGGTGTACGTTGAGGGTCTGTTTGCAGCGTGTTTACACCGGTGGCTTTGAATTTATCTTCATCTTGCAGCAGGTGGAAAAATCTTCAGGGGGAACGTGGTGCTTTGCAAGCTGGTTTTGAGCCGTCTGCAAAGGGACCCACGCGTTCTCCGGGAGGCCGGAGCCAGCCTAATTGGCAGCAAAGATTAAGGGGGGGGGGGAAATCCCCCCTTGCAAGCTGGTGGTGGCAGGAGCCTCTCGGACCACAGCTCTGGCTGCTCGTACGGGGTCAGAGACTTTGGGAGGAGGTTTTTTTATTTCTGAAGTTCTCTCGTCTCCTAGTCTAATTAAGCCGTGATTAATTGGATTGGTAGCAGGAAAAATCTCAGGTACAATTCTCCCCTAAAACTGAACAGTTTGCCTTTCGTTTCTGCTTCTCTCGCCTTTGCCCTCGCCGACTGGGGATCTGAGGCTGGGGGGAGAGGTTATTTCTCCCTGGTCCGCCAAGGAGTTATTTCTTCTCGTTATTCATTCCTTGGCGTGTGTCCCGCCGTCTGCTCCTGACCGCTTCTCCTGCAGCGCGGGCGGGCGCTGCAGGCCACAGCAGGGCTGCAAGACAGTTAAAACGGTCCAAAACACATCAGGTTAGCCAAGCCTGTTTAATTAAAAATCTATAGAGAGAGATTTTCTCGCTCTGTGATGGGTTTATTAGAGCAGAGGAATCTGGGCAGCAAGCTTGGTCTCAGCCGTGCCCCGTGGACAGTGCAACAGTCTCGCTCGGCTGCTTTGGACCGTGCAGTGCCCATAGTCCTAGCATCCATCCGTTAAGATCTTTCATTTCCCCCCGGCGTCCTCCTATTGGTAGAGAATGAGCTTGATACCAGCCTGTTCCGTTGAACTGAGTTTGCCGATTTGCAATTTAAGCATCTCAGAGGCCCTGAGATTGCAAGGGGAGAAGGGAAAGCGCAGGCTTCACCCAGGCAAAGCTCTGCTCTCCGGCATCACCAGTCACTTTGGTCAGTCATCGGCTGGGAGCTGGGTTTGGATAACCCCCGGGACAGGAACGGAGTTACTTATTTTGTGTCACGTCTTGAACACGGACACGAAGCCCCGGTTTTCCTGTTGAGGTTTATTTAGTTAGCAGTGGGCTGTTAATCATACTTTTGCCTGTGTTTTTAGAGGCCTGGCGCTAAGCTGTTTATCTCCAGATGGGTATTTAAACACAGTGCAGAAGTGCTTACACTGGAGTGTTAGTGGTCTGAAGAGCAGGTGATGGGATGGAAAATGAGAGAAATATCCTTCTGTTTAAAGACTGAGGGAAGGATCTGCTTTTTCTATAGCTTCTCTTCAAACCTGGCAGCAAACAGGCCACGAGCAATAAAGAGCTGGACGGGAAATCCAATTTCTGTTTGAGCAGAAGTCCCGTTGTTTTGGTTCAGTTGGTCAAAGCCAACTTCAGGCTGTTCTGAGAGGTCAATAATTAGAGATGTGATGGAAACGAACGGGAGATGGAGGCCGGGGGGATGGAAAGGTGGTTGGTTGTACGAGACTTGTAGCACACGATCCCTTTCCCTGAGCAGCCAAGCTCAAATGCAGTGAGCTCTAGCAGGCTCCACGGCTGTTTCAAGCTCCTGTGCCCCCTTTCCTCTTAGTCGCACAGAAAGAAGCAGCCCGTGAGGCTAGCCGGGAGGGGATGGGGGTGGATTGGGGCTCCCAAAGTCTAACTGGGCTCCACTTGTGCTGGAGGGTGTTAGGAACTAACTACCGACCTACCTGTGGCTCAAGCTCTTTGTAAAAAGGGGATAACACTTGCCTAGCTCATAAGGGATTTTCAATTTAAAGTTTGCAAAGCCGTTTAAGACCCTGGATTGAAAGGCGATTTATAATGGTAAAATTCAGTGTTCTCTAGTGTATTGTATATCTGGCTGTGTCCAATTATCCTGATGGAGGCTTTTGTTTTTTGGTTTTTGTTGTTGTTTGCATTAGTAAAACCAACCAAAAACAGGGTTTCACTGTGGCAGGCACAGTATGCCCCACTAGAGGATGAGTTTGCATCCTGAGGGGTTTCTGACTTACACTGACCATGTAGGTAAAGGGTGGGAAGAAAAAAGAGTGTACCAAGGCAAAGAGCACAGGAGATCAGTGATAAAAGTTGTGAATAGGAGTGGGAAGGTTTAAATGATGCGTGCGTAAGGAAAATAAAAGGTGCTTGATAAATAATCATTTCGTATCCTCAAGTTGGTCACAGTGATGGGAGCACTCCCCAGCACATCAGCCGCTTCTGTTGTCCTGCAGATCCCAGCAGGAGCATCCGTTGTGCAAGCTCCTTCCTACTGCAGAGGAGATTTTTGCTAGGCCTCCTGTAAAACGCAGGTTGTGTTGTGGGCTCAGCCAGCATGTGAATTCTCTGCTCTGGCTCCGATATTTCTAACACTGGAGTTGATGGAATTACAGGGTGAAGCGCCCAAGCACTGACTCGCTGGATGTATTTCCTGTTCAGTTTTCAAAGAGATGCTTTCTAAAGCTCACTTTGCTGATGAGACACTGAGTGGTGAGGGCAGAAAGCAAGGGGGGAATGACTGGACTGAGTTCCAAAAATAAATAAAAGTCTTTGCCTGAATTCAGAGCAGGGACGCGGTCCAGTTTGCTCTGTCATCCAAGTTGCCCCTTACTAGCCTGTGCAGTAGCTCGAGCTAATTGCAGGTCGCGCTTTCTATTTGGCATTTCCATGCTCCCCAGGTGGTTTTCAGGTGGCACAAATGTCAGAGAAGGGAATCAGCTGTGAGGTGAGGGATGTCTATCATTAAGTAAAACTCAGTGCTGATGCAAGGCGTCAGGTTAGATAGCCTTGGGTATGAGCTGCTCAAAGCTGCTGCCACTTTCTGCAGCTTGAGACTGGAGGAAAGGGGAGAAGAAAAGGGATTCCCGGGGGGCCGATCACCTCAGGGCCACTGAGGATGGTCCCTTTGAGGGCAGTGAGGACCTGTTGATGAGGCAGAGAGGTGACCAGAGGATTTCTTGTCACGGTCAACGTATCAGTGGAGGAAATCTCATAGGGGCAAGTGCTCGCTCCTGGCCTGTGCTGAGTGAGAGTCTTTGGCCCCACTGAGGCTACCAGGTATCTCTCAGAAATCCTGACTTTATTGCCCATTTTCATTTCCTTCCATTGTATAGTTCACAATTTGGTCTGCCCACCAGACTGTAGTTGACCTGATTCGGTTGTCTTAATGCCGCACAGTGCCATAAGGGTTTCCCAGGGAATGTGTGACCTGCTGCCTGTCTGGCAGGACCTGCTGATGTTTGAGTCCCTTGTTCGCACATTGGTTTTCCCTTACCTCCAATTACTTAAAAAAAAATCAAAGGAAATATGATAAAATAAAAGCTATCCAACGGGCTTTGCTGGAGCCATACGTCCAGTGTTGCTGGTAGCTGAGTGGTGGGATCTCCCCAGCCTCAGGGGCTCCTCCTTCACTGAATTATTTCTCAGGTGCAGCCATCCCTTATCCTTGATGTTAGGCAGGTGGCCTTCAAGGCAGAGGAAGGCAATCTCAGTGTGAGCCGCATATCACTTGGGTGTCAGGCGAGGACTGGGATCTCAGTGCCAAGTTGGCCTGCTTCAGAGGCTATCTTTCTCTTGTCAGAAAATGTTGAGCTAGCAATTGCAGAGAAACATTTTGTGAGCTGGGTTTTGACAATACCGTAAGCTTCTATGACTGACAAAATGAAACTTTTTTGTTAATATCTCCTGCCTATAAAAAGAAGCTGGCTCTGTAGGTTGCTTTGTTGTTCATTAGTCCCTGTGTGATGTCTGAATGTTTAGCTATGTATGTGTAAATAATTAACACTCACTGGTGCTATGTAAAATCTACAGATGTAGATTTTTCCTGGCATTAAACAAAGTAAATGTTACTATAATGGAAGTAGCCCTTAGATTTGGCTTTATTATTTCTGTGACTGGACAAAATTTGTCGAATAATCCAAGGTTGATGAAAACTGACTGCTACTTTGCTGTGGGAGCCTCTCAGAAATGGTGAACAGCTCTGAACGTTTTTTTACCCAGCTCTGAGACCAGGGCAGGGAGCAGATCCATGTGGGACACTCAAGAGTGCCGATTTCCTAGTTTCTCTGGAAAATATTGGTCCCAAGACTGATGTAACCCAGTGAGTTAAACAGTGTGAATGGTAAAAAAAAAAAAAAAAAAAAAAAAAATCAGTCAAACAAAATGTGGTGAGAAAGCTGCAGTTTGAAGACTTCAGAAGCTCTGTAAATGCTACTGAGCTGTTTCTTGATTTTAAATGCCTGTTCTTCCCTGAGGCACAGTGAGGTGGGATATCCTCCCAGCAGCATCAGTCATTGATGAGCCCAGCCTCATCCTCACAGTGTGGTCAGCAGGAGAGAGAAGGTGTCATGAGGCCAAAGGGGAGGAGGAGTTCTCAGCACTTGGAGCTTTGGGCTGGGGTGTGAGTCTTGGGTTTGAGTCTTGATTCCTCTGTGACTCAGGCCGGGTCTCTGCACCAGTTCTGCACCTCAGTTTCCCTCATGTCTGCCTTGTAGTCTTGCTGGGAGGGCACAGTGCTTCGGTGGCTGTACATCCCGGGAAGCGGGGTGACAGGGCCACTGGGATATGCGTGGATGTGCAGGGATGAAGAGAGGCCAAGGAAGCCTCTGATGCAATTATTTCTTTTTGTCATGAGCCACTCAGGATAGCTGGAGCTGAGCTGAGTTACTGCCTGCTCTTGCTGGACAATGCTGCTCTGCCGACTCTCCGTACCCACCGCTCTCTCTGCCTTCCAGGTTCGATGAAGAGCCCCGTGAACAAGACTGCTCTGACCCTCATTGCCGTCAGCTCCTGCATCCTGGCCATGGTGTGCGGCTCCCAGCTGTCCTGCCCTCTGACAGTGAAGGTGACTCTTCATGTACCTGAGCACTTCATTGCTGATGGTAAGACCCTCCAGTGACTTAGACTCCTTTGCGCCATCAGGATCGTTTGGGACTTGGGGGTCCTTCTCCTTGCAGCCTCCCTAAAACCTACCTGAGACATTGCGTTGTAAACATCTCTGGTGGGGGACCAGATCATGGGTGGTAAACTTTCCTCCTAGACCTCTGGGGGGTTCTTCCCAGCATGAGCTTGGCAGTGCAAAGTGCTTAGATGAAGGTTACAGCTTCTGTCTGGAAGTCAGCAGCCCAACGTTAGTTTTTCAGCACTGTTACACTGAAATCTGTGACATAATGCAAGGAATCAGTGAGGAATGTGTGAAGATGGTTTGCAGGTCATCTTGGGAAGGGAGAAGGCTGCCCTTTTAAGCTGCATTTGTATTTTCAGCACTGGTATGGTTCAGCTCCCATCTCTCTCCCTCCATCCCCTGTCCCCACATCCATAAGCTTGGTGGCCTTACACCCATTTCACGTGGGAAACTGCCCTCTCTCCAGAGATCCTCTGCATTCAGCTGGAAGATCCCTCTTCTCAGAGGAGCAAAGCATAAATGTCTGTAGACCTGGGGCAGAAATCTGAACTGTGTCTTTTTTACTATTATTATTGATTGTGTCTGACGGGCATTCTTGTTTTTCTCTAAACTCGCTGATGAGCCCTGGGAAGCTGCACAGATGTATTCCCATCCTGCAAGAACAAAGCTGTTTGTCCCAGACCCTTGTAGCTGTGTAGAGAGAGAAATTGCTAGCATTTGAGCAAAGGCAGAGATGCTTTGAAGAATTAGACAAGGGCTGCTGTCACTATTTATTGCTTTCACTAACTGGGCTCCTCATGTTTGTTGTGTTTCACTGACCTTTTCCACATAATGTGCAGTGAGTGTCAAGTGCAAGTTTTCAGTAACATGAGGGCAAATTTCATTTTCTTCCTGCAGACGAGGCCCATTATTCAGTCGGTTCCAATTCTTCAGCTCCTGTGCTTGTCTTGCTGCTCGAGGCACGCAAAGGGTGCACCCTTTCTCGGCCAGAAACGCGCTGTACAGACCCCAGTGCATAACTGGCCACTGGAGCCACTCGTGCGTCACCGTTCTCGGAAAACCCCTGGGCTATCCATGGCTGTGGTGTGGGGACAGAGGGCAGATGTGGGGGGAATTAATGTGTTGGGGAGAGGTGAAGGCTTAAAAAGCTGGGACAGTGTGTCAGCAGCAGAGAGTGAAGAAGAGGGTCTTAAACCATCGCTCCATGATAGGGAGGAATTCTCTAGCCTGTTTTTAGTGGGGCTCAGCCTTGAATAGCAGTGGTTTCTCCTTGGCCTTAATAGGAATTCATAGGAAGTTCCCTGCACTATAACACAAACAGAGCACACGCTCTCCCCAGCCCTTCCACAGACCTTCACCGGCAACAGCTCCACAGCAGCAGCTCATTAAACGCTCCTGCATCTCTGCTGCATCTGCAACGATGCTGATGGGAGTGATGTTCTGTGCAGCCAGTGGGTTAATATCCCTGTGCAAACAGTGCTGGGGCATGAGCCTTCCTATATGCTAATCCCTGAGAATACTTCTTAGCTGCTAACTCCGGAAATTGCTGCCTAATCTCGGGGTACGTGGGATATCCTAAAATATCCTTGGCCCTTAGAGAAAAGAGGAGGGGAGGGTCTACTCTGTGGTCTCAGACTGGAGGAACTGAACATCGGAGGACTGGAGACATGAAAGAGATGTCTTTAACTGTTTTTAAAAGGCTTGTAAGCATTGTCAAGTCTATGAAAAAATATTCTGGAAGTTTTCACAGATCATCATTCTGAACAACTAGAGAACAGAAACTCTTCTTGCATTTGGGAAACTGAGGCTGCTCCAGGATCGTGTCCCTTTGAGCCAGGTGCTGAGCAGTTCAGTGTAAACTTAATTCTCAGCCTGCAGCACTTGAGCTGGGAGAGGAATATCATTCCCATCTCAAAACTGGTTATGGTAAGACAGAGAGAGCACACGTGACTTGCTGAAGGTCAAAAAGGATGGGAAGTCAGTGGTGTAAATAGGAGCCTGGCATCCTGCTCCTGGGCTGCAGCTCTAACCCAGGGAAGACATTGTGTCCTCCAAAAACAAATAAAACAGAATGTAATGTGACTCCGTAGCATTAAAATGGAAAAGGAGATGAGTCTGTGCTTATCACCAGGAAGGGGGTGGCAGTGCAAATTATGCAAATACCAAGAAGACTCAAATGGAGATGACAATGAAGTACCAATAAAACAGATTAATATCCTTGAAACTGGAGGAAATGGGATGATCTCCAGTCCTGACTTAATGACTTTTCTAAAGAGGAAGTGGCAAGAGGACTGGTAGAAATGGTTTGGAGAAGAATTAAAATGAGCTTTGTAATGAAACTGTAAAATATAATTACAAATCGCAAAAACTTTTAAAATATTTTTTATGTGAAACAGTCAAATTCTTCATGTAGAAGCAGCAAACACATTTTGCAGCGGCTATCAGTTTTACTGAGATTTCGTCATTTTATGCAATGACAGAGTCCCTCGTCTGGGGAGAGAAAAGCACTTAAAGTTGTCCCTTCTTTTACATAACAGCAAATTCCCAGGCTGCACCAAACTGGCAGCAAAATATTATAAAACATTAAAGAAGATCACAGAAGTGAGCTGTGTTTGGAAATTTTAATGACACCCCGTCACCATGAAGTGTTGCATGCTTGGCCTTTTCCCAGTCTGAGTTGTTACTGGTTGCTTTGCTTTGCGAAGGGAGTAATAGGAGTCCAAAGTTTAAAATCAGTGGCTGAATGATCTGTTTGGATAGCAACTCTTAATGTGCTTGCTGAAAGGCAGAAGGGTGGAGAGAGATTCTTCCCTTTTGGGCAGAGAAGCTGGAGGAGCCAGCTTTGGGGACTGAGAGAAGATGGAGAGCACAACCCCTTAGCACGGCTTTCCCGTGGGGGGGCTGTATTTGCAGAGGGTTGGGTATAGCTTGTCCTGTGGAGTCCTTCCCTAAAGGAAAATAAGGGGATTTTCCCTGACCTTAACCTGGTGATTTAATGGCTTCATTTCCATCCATTTAAACCTGCTTTTTGGCCAGGTGCAACAGGTCTGAACTGGGGGTTTGGTATGGACATTACCTTGTGAATGAAGTGGCAGTGGAGCCAATTTCTCCAGCCCAGACAAGGCTGGGAACTTTGATCAGGCTTACAGCAGCCTCTCACGTGACACCTAACTGCGTCCTCCATGTCTGATAAATGTTGCCGCGCACTTAAATGGTCTGGTACGTTAAGCTGTGCTCTTTTATATTTTGCGTGATGATAAGCGGGCTGTGAGAGAAGGCAGGGATGGTGCATTCATTGAGATGTTCCAGCGCAAGAGAAGGAAGCCCTCTAATTCCTTTCTGATATGCGGTATTTCAATAGATGCCAGTAGCCAAGGAAAATTTTAAAGCAGAGAAGCTACCAACACCTCTGCAGGAAAAGCCAAACAAAGACACAGAGGCTGAAAGAGATCCCTCTCCTAGCAGATGAAGACTCGTCTTTGAAGGAAACTTTAAATAGATGCAAGCCAGCTCCAGCCACGATCCAAAGCCAAGCTGAGAAAAGGGGTGGGGGGAGACACCCACCAAACGCCTCTTGCCTCGGAGGGAAGCAGCTTTTCCCCTTTAGAGCAAGCAATGGTGTTAGAAAAAGAGGCTCCTGAGCACATTGGGGGAAAGGAAGGGGGAAGGTTAGGAACCAGAAACTGACTGGCAGCAAAGACTAGGAGAATGTGTTACAAGCTGCAATATTAATAACTAGCCTATCTCCACCGCCTTTATTTCTCTCCCTTGGTTCATTTTCTTCCTTTTGTTCATTTGATGGGTTCCCCACCACCACCACCCTCCCCTCTGAACAGTTACTGCGTGGTTTGTACAGCTGCTCTGTCTTCATTTCACAGGGCAGCCAAATCCATAAAAGCCTGGCACAAGCTGCCATGCTCTTAAGCTGGCAGGGGAAGGCTGGGGGCCTGGGGACTGGTTTGTGCCTGTGCTGCTTCTCGTCGGATGCCCTGAAAGGAGGCTCTTTCACGGCGTGGGGTTTTGTTGCGCTCAGCAAAAGGACTGTTGAGAGCAGAGGACGGCACTGGTTTTGTCCCAGCCCTCTGGGTTGCAGAGAGGTGCAGGTGGTTGCATTAAACCAACAAGGGTGGGGAGGCCTTGACTTCTTTAGGATCTCCTGTGGTCTGCAGGGGAAGGTGGATCTCCACTTCCCATGCCCCCGCCCCCCTCTCGTCCCAAAATGATTCAAGGGTCCGCTTCTCCCTCTGGCCGCTGCTGCCCCTCCAGGGGACAGAAATCTCCTCTTGGAGATCTCCTCTGCATGTCAGGAGCTTGGGGACAGCCTCCGCCCCGGCTGAGCAGAAGATGCCATTTGCACTTCAGAGCAGGTTCAGATTTATAGACAGGATCATAGTAGCTTTTATGAGGATTTGGAAAAGTAAAGCAATATGTAGAGGAACAGTTTGCAGTGTTAAGGCAGGGGGGAAAGGATAGAGAGCCCCTCCATCTGGGCAGTAAAACCCCTTATGAATATGTCAGCCACTCAATTCTATGCATTCAGTAGTTTTTCCTCTCGTGAGTAATCATTCAAAAAGTAGAGAGGCAGGCAATGGGAGCTGCTTGCAGAGAAAGCAGGGCTGGGGAAAGATACCCTGGAGGACTTTGCCTGGAGTGTGTCCTTGCTGCACAACAGTTTGAAATATAGTATCAATTAAAGCTTCCCATTTTTACAGCCTGCATCGAGGTTATATATGGTGTGGGTGGATGTTTGTATCTGGATATTTTAGTGGGAGCGGTAGGTGAGATCCTCTGTTGCGTACAGAAGGAAGGAAGAGCTACATTTAGCTAGGGGCTTGTAGGGCTTTGTTTTATAAGTGGAAATAAAGGAAAGGCCATAAACCAAGTTTCTGTCGCTTCAGAGATGGCTCAGAACATTTGCAACCTCCGTCACTCCTCTTTGGAGACGCCTGCCAAGGAAAACGTGCTAATCTCTCTGTC